TTTATATGTTTAAAAAAATAAAGATTTTTATTTCACAAATTGGTAAAAACTAGTTATATTTGGTTACTTATATGTTGCATACACACTGATTGAACAAAAATTTAATTAGTCATTTACTACTATTACGGAAATAGTGGATTTAGATAAGATTTTAGTTGTCAATATATGACAATCTCAAAAAGGAGTAATTACCCATGCCTATTGCAATGAGTCTTTGCAGTCACATGTGTAGTGCAATGGTATGCATATATTTGGAATGATTATTGGTATTTTGATTCACTTGTGCATTTTCTTGCAGGCTATAGTAGGTGTGTAATTTTATTTGTATGACTAATATTAATTTACCTATAAGCAACTTACACGAGATGATCTATAAGATACGATCAGTTTACAAAATTGTACATCATGTTAGATGTTAATTACTTAATTGTGTATATCTATGAAAGGTAGTGCAATGGTACGTATAACTTTGAAATGGTTATTGACCATTTGATCAACTTGTGCATCTCCCTATAATTTATGCATAATTTTACTTGTATGAGTAATACTAGTTGTCTGTGAGCACTTTACACGGAGTGATCTATGAGTTACAATCAATTTATAAAAATTTATATCATGTTAGGTGTTAGTTACTTGATTATGTATATTTGTAAAAGGAAAATTAGATATAGTGCAGTAAAAGATAACAACGTGAGTTGGAGTGTGTTTTAGAAATTTTGGTGTAGTTGATATTAGTATTTTTCTGTGGAGTGTACACGTTTCCGTTTTATCCACAAATTTGTAATACATAGTGTCACTTATTTCCATTTTTATCAAACCCCAAACTAAAAGCCTTAGAAATGTGGTTGGGATGTCAATTTTGGCATACTTATATCATTTAATTGCTCTTTGAACAAATATCCTTAGGTTTATTAGGTATGATGCATATAAAAATAAACCAAATATACACTCCAATTATAACAATATGTACAACAATTCTAATAGATATATACAATGATTCAAACAAATTTACAAATTGAACAAAAATCTATGATGATTACAATGATATTTACAAGGATTCGTACCTATCACTACATAACATTTTTTATAAATCGAAATTGAAAATTTACAAATATTGTGCTAACAAAAATCTATAAAAAGAAAGTAAAAGAGTTATACAATGCTGTTAATTGAGTTTCACTTGCTCCATTCTTCTTCTCAAGTTGATTTCTCTTTTTTTCTTTCTAATTATAAATGGTGGGATTGGTTCTGCAAGCTCAGGAGTTCCCACTTTTCATATTTCTTCCTTTTCACATGGATTCTTCTTTGTCCTTTTTCGTGCCATCTTGCCACTGCTCATGGAAATTGTAAAGGTTATTCAATTTGTTCAACACATGTCAGTTTTGCTAAAACTTCATATACTCTTATCTATGCAATTAAAACAAAGTGAGACCAATTTAACAATTCGTAATTGCAATCAATCAAACAGTCACGTCTCACTATCCTGCCAACATACTAGTACAACATAAAAGCATTGACAAACTTACATATTCAAGGATTTTGATGGTGCTTCAAGATGCTTTTTTAGTCGAACTTCTCAATCTCCTTCATGTCATTTGCACCAGTTTTTGATAAACAATTACTTTTAAATTACATAAGATTTTCTCCCAACATTCCTAAATCAAGATAAAGTAGTTCTAAGAATGATATAGCAAATTCAATTATGAATAAGACATTCTGAACAATAAGTACATTCAACTTAATATATAGACATTTTGAACAAGACATGCATGATCTATGAGATATAATTAATGAGGTATTAGTTACTTGACTGTGTATATCTGTAAAAGGTAGATTGAAAATAGCACAATGAAAAGTAGCTATGTGAGCTGGCATGTATGCTAGAACTTTGGTATAGTTGATATTTACATTTTTTTTGTGGAGGTATAGCTATGTGATTGTTTTTATGTTGATAAAGTTTTCTCCTGACATTCCTAAATCAAAATAAAGTAATGATATAGTAGATTCAATTATGTGTAAGACATTTTGAACAACAAGTATATTCAGCCCAATATATAGGCATTAGAACCAATATTCATGCCAATCAACTTTCATACTGTGGGCTTCAATTACTGGTGTGCTACAGTTAATTGGGGTTTCAACTTATAAACAAGAGTAAACTTATGTCTGCATTTCTTTCCTCACAAGGGTTCCATTATCAATTTCTAGGACTTGATTTAATATCATTATGCTAGTTGATTGTGCATTTACAATCGTGTCAAAGTATTTTTCCATTGTCACTGTTCTATCACAGAATGTAATAGTTATCTAACAAGATGTACATGCACACTAATTAAGATAACTGATAATCATTTTTCCACACTAAGAAAGGCAATTTGAACAAGATGTCTTACCTTCTTTTTTTTCCTTCTTTTCCCTAACTTATTTCCACTGCATGTTACGCGTAATTGTCACCAAGCTCATGTATTGAGTTCTATAGATGTTGCGAGAGACAAACACCAGCCACTTACATATTAAGTGATTTAGATGGAGCCTTAGGTTGTTTGCCATCAAACTTTCATGTTGCTTCATCTCTACCACTTTTCTTACTGGAAGTTCTAGATTTTTTTTCTGCCATTTAAACTGGAGTTTTATACAGACAATTGCACTTCAGTTCCATTATGCTTTCCCTACTTATTCTTAATGCATTACAAAGTACTAACATAAATAATATATCACTTTCAAATCTCAGTAACAATAGTTATGAAAACTCGTAACTTATTTTCAACATTCTGTTTGCCAAAATTAATAGTAGGTTAATTATTCTGTCTAGCCAATTCGACTTACAATCTACTCTCAGTCATTTATCAACTTTGATGGGATTGACTTCTTCTTCTATTTATTGTCCTACTCTACAATTATGAGTTAATGTAACAACCACGAGATACCAATTTCACAGTTATGTTGACAAAATTTTACAGAGCAGTTCTTATACTATAATTGCTAACTCACTGCGTGTTACAGTTATCCAACTTCATGTCCAAGTACACTAGCAAAGTAAAACTTGTAACCTTTTTCCACATTGAGTATGCCAAGCTAAATTCATTCTGCCTACCCTGTTTAGATTGTCGTCTGGTGCCCCAGCTATCAAGTTTCAAACAATCAACCTCTTCTTCTATTTATCCTGTGATTATGCAAATACGAGTTAACTAACAAAGAATAGATAGCAATTTCACAGTATGTTCATGCAATATTACATATCAGTCAGGCTATTGTAACTGTTGACTAACTCCATGTAACAGTTATTCAACATAGTGTCTAACCCCACTAGCTAAAAAAATTTGTCTGCAATGCGTCTACCAATCTGAGTGTCATGTTATTTTACTCTGCATAATAATTTTACTCCTCGTCATTATTTATTCTTGTGAAATGTCTCTTATACAACATGTTGTAAGAGGCATTTTTAAGGGAATTATCTTTGTAATACTTTTTTTTTCACTTTGTATGTTGCCATGAATAGTATGTACAAACCACACATAAAGTATAATCTGCATGCAGGCACTGCTAATCAATAAAATCTATAAGAAATTCATAGAAACAACCAGTATCTTTGTTATATTATTACCCAAACAATTTCCCATCCTATTCACATGATTTTACAAACACTTGGCGCACTAAGTTTTCCTCACCTATCCTCCCCTATGTTGACTACCAAAATACCTACCTTCTTCTACTCAAGACTAGTGAACAGTCTATTCTGGCAAAACTATTAATGATCAATTAACCTATTCATTCACAATATTGTCCAACAATGACAACTACTCACATCGCTCCACGACCTTGTCAAATTTCAAAAGTTATGTGGTACCATTGTTGTTTTGTTACCTGGGTGTTTCCTGCTTTATCTCTTCTTCGGATGCGAAACTCTGCTCTTCTGTCGCTACTTCTTCCTTTTTCTTGTTGTAATATATCTCAGCGCAATTATATTTCCCTTGCTTTCCCCTATCCCTAGTCTGCCTCCAATCACTTTCTAGTTCTGCCTCCAGCCACTTTCTTGTATTCTTTGTTTGCTTTCGTTTTCTAGTGTTATGGACAAATGAAAATTGGCAATTGTTGTGAAGGGAAAACAAATGACCTTTTTGTTTGACGATTCATTTGCACCGGATTTTGTGGAACGGAGCTAATGCTTCATGTCGAGGTCCGTCAAAAGCGTCAATTTCTTTTTTCCATTACTAATTTATGTGGCGTCATTTTTCCACCTTCCCAAAATTGGTCAACGTGATTATTTCTAATCCTTTCGCTTGGGATTGTGAGAGGACCGTTCAGAGACGGTCATCATCAGAATGAACGTCCTTGTCCCGTATCCTTGTACCTTGACATTTTTTTTATATAGAAAAAAAGCTCAAGGAAGGTTAACTTCCTGTATACGCACAAGACAGATTTTGAATCATTTATCTAATGTAAGAAAAGATCTTAGAATTAAAATATAATATACAACATTTGACAATGCATTACATTTAACTGTTTGTGATTGACTAACAAGAAGTACGATTGTAAGACGTCAATTGAAGTATTAGTTTTTTAGAGATTGGAACTATTTCAATTACTTAAATACACAACATAAAAAGGTATATCCACTAACGAAAATATCACCCAAAAAAGCAAGAGCAATATATAGCATGTTAACCAAACACCTTTAGAATAGTTGACCACCAACAAAAATCTTAAGACTCTTCTTGCATTCATTTTCAAAATTTTCTAAAAATTTCACCAAGTACAAAAATACCCGTTTAGTCTGATAATAGTTTAATTTCCTCCAAATTCTCTCTTAACCCATTTGAGCCCACCCCTCCCCCTTGGTATAGAGTAAAAATAAAAATAGAATAAAAAAGCTATCGTGTTGACAATATACATACATATATATACACATATATATATATATATATATATATATATATATATATATATATATATATATATATATATATATATATATATATAACATGTTAACTTATACGTTCTTGAAAAGATAGGCACTGCAATATGTACTTTCCAACTCCGGTTATTTCGACAAACATATATTTACAAATTCTCACAGCTTCCCTAGTTCAATGGCTTGCTCATTTAAGATTAGCATGACTAATCTTAGCGAGCATTTACAGCGATTCTGCAAATTGAGAAGCCTCCAGATCAAGTTCTTGTTTCATGATGCAGGTCATCAGCCAGTCACTGCCAAACGTCTGCATGCCATTCCTTACAGCTAAGAGTGCTTCTTCCATATCCTCTTCAGATGCAATATATATTGTTTTTGATGATTCATTCACTTTTTGCATTCCGGAAACCACCTTCAAATTATAGAGTTAAGCAATTATGATTATCTCAATTAACAAGGCCAACTTAAAAGCATAAGCAATTTCAGAAAATGTTCCAAAGCCATAACTTGTGCGAGGAACTAAAACTAAGCAGCTAAACCAGCAAACACAAAGAAGCCAGATTGTTAAAGTAACAGAAGCGAAAGGAAAAGCAGCTAAGAAGAACAGATATCAGCATAAAGGCGCTGGAAGCGTAATGTAGTAGCCATCTGACACAGAATGTTTCAGAAGTTCCTTCTCCTACAGCTTGAGCTTCAACTGGCACAGAATTGGTATGAAGCAAAATATAACATGGTCTTTTTGGACTACAGAAATTTTAGGAACAATTGGGCATATGCTTAATCTGTTGAGAAAGGATAACTCATAGCAGACTTACATTTCCCCCAGCAGACTTTATGATGGTCGATAGAGTGCGCATTGGGGGTTGAACATGTGCTGCGAGACATATGTCATGACCTTTAAGTAAAGAATTGGGATTTGATTTTGCTCTAAGGACCGCAGCTTTCAGCTCTACCTTATACTTGCACTCATAATCTTCGTCTTTCAAAAGATATGGCATTTCATCTGTTGTGATTGACAAACTAATCACATATCTCCAAACTTTAAGCATATTGAAGCATCAAATTTAACATTTTGACCTACCCACAAATCTGCCTCTCCGATAACTTTCCTTTAACCAGCTAGGTGAGATAATCCAAGCTCTGCATAACAGGATACATCCAAATAAATAACAAAATGAAACATAAAAAGAAGAATTTAAAAGAGACTAAATTTTGATGGATGAAGCCATTAGAGCGTGCAAAATTAGCAAGAGAGTGCATAGTGTACTGCAATATTATGATCTACATGACTGGGGAAAGGAAAAGTTGCAAGAAGAGTAGATCCAAGGTCAATTTTGGCAACAAAGTAGAAAATAAGCAGGCATAATTGTTTCACCAAATAATTCCATTTTTATTCACAACCTCATCTATCACCAGTGCATGTTTGCTTGTCTCTGAATTGTACAAGACTCAGGACGCCAGGTAGCTATTAGTTTTGTAATTTTCACTGATTGTTATTTGGATGTTATTTGGATAACAAGCAATCGACTTGTTCTCTGCTTCATCCACTACATACTGCCGTAGCCTAAAATTCTCTTTAGTTTCCAATTGATCTCCAGTTCTGAGTTGATAGACATGATCCTCAGCTATTGCTACATCAATTACTACTTGACATTTCCATAGTTGCAGAGTCAATGAACAAATGGTGTCTTTGATATTGCATGATTGTGATTTCAAGTACTGACCTGTCCTTTTGAACCTAATATCTTCGTAAAGCTTAATCATCTAGAAAGTGAATTAGAGCAAATGAATTTTGCAGAATGTCTTAAAAGAAGCAACATGACAACAAAAGAACCAGATGTAGTGAAGTGGTAAATGAACTGATCTTGACTTTCAAAAGGATTATGTGGACAGTATGAGTTAATGAGCATGTATTCTAATGATTGCATGTCAAAACATTCAAATTCAAACTAAACTTACCCAGAGCAGAGAGCTGTGCAGAAATTCAACGTTTTTCTCACTTTCCCTGTCACTACATGTGAGCTTACTCTTCCATCAGAGGTAACAATCCCACCTAGGTCCTCAATTATCTACACCAACAGTATCAATATGGCATAAGAAGCATAAAAGCTACTTACCAAGAAAGCTAAATTCTACAAGAAGAATGAACTCTAGTCTAAGCCTTATTATATTTCTTTAGGGGACGTGCTGAGGTTGAAAAGTGAAATAGGATAAGCCAGTATCAGACAAGGACTTAAAACTGCCAAAACTGAAAAAAAAATACACCATATTGGCATCATTTTGATTCTTTAGAAAAGAAGACCAACATTGCCAAGGGCTTTTAGATCACAGCGCCTCCATTACCGTAGAGAAAGGAAAGAAGACTTCCATCTCCATAGTTTTAGATGAACCTTACCATCCCTTCAATATCTTAAAATTAAAATAGAGAGCTTAGGTGATATAATTACTCTACCTTCACCATGAATTACTCATTGACTACACTGCAGTTTACCGCATCAATATTTAGGACCCTATCCTTTCAGGTCACATGACCGACTGCTCACCAGTTCTACAAGACAAACCACAGATCTGGTAGTTCAGCTTGAAATTTCAAATCTGGGCTTACCTTGGTTAAACTTGATTTTTTCTTGTCATCAGCAATATTCATTAGCATTATTTTGAAGCATATATCTGTTGACAAAAGTTTACAGCTGCCTTTATCTTCTGATGTCTCATTAATTGCTCCACATTCTACATTGTTCTTTTCCAAACAGTCATTTGCGAAAGCATCTCCACCCACCAATAATTTGTTTCCATAAAGAAATGTACTTGAATTAGAACAACATTCACCACTTGAGCCAAAATTTCTGGGATCTGATTGACAATCAATTGCATGACCACCCTTTACTTTCTTTGAATTCATTGAGGTAAGTGAGGCTTCCCATATCCTTTTCTTTGTCCCTTGTGTTGAACACGAACATTTCTTCATCTCAAAATCCTCTCCACTTTTTCCAAACTCCGAATTGTTAGCCGTATTGATATATTCCAAAAGCTTTCCACTATCTGCATCTTGGCAACCTGGAATTTCAATGCAACTGGAGTAAGCATTTCCAAAGTACAAAAAGAATTAGGACTCCACTAATAGCCAGAGCCTGAAAGAGGCAAAAATAAAAAAGAAAAGGAGAAACCCAGAAAAATATATTTATACTTAAAGAAATGATGTTTTAGGCCAAACAGACACACTGTATCTTACCAAGATAGCATTTCAACAGTTAAAAGCAAAGAACAACTAAGCATGGCCCTGGTCCATCTTGCATGGAAATGGTGCTAAGATTATAGTACAGTGCATCCATAAATATGTTGGTCACCCAAAGAAAGATAGGATATCCTTATAAAAAAAAGGGACTATCCTTACATTATCAATTCTCATAGATCATGTAGGTCAATAGCTGGTCTAACTGATTCTCCTTGAATTTTTTTGCAGTTGGCCTCAAACATACAGAAAAAAAAATCTGCTGTGGCTAGCTGCCTCATCAGATCAAGTGTTGAAAAGTTTGGCATTAGTGGATAAATCTGATAATATATTCAAGAGAAACCACTTTGCTTATTTCAGCACATTTAAAGATACAGGAGAACACCAGGGTTTCATAGGGGGCATGATTAAATTCAAACTTACAAATTTAATATTCTTTCCAAAGGTATCACTAAGAGGATGCCAAGGGCACAAGTAATAAGTTAGTCATTGAATCATTATGTAGGCATTGAACCTTCATCTCTGTATATATATACTGTTTTAGGAAACATAAATGCATTTTAGATGAGTACACATAAATAATGCATGTGAGGATACACAGAGAACAAGACGAGAGATTTCACTTACCATCAAATAGAAATCTCTCGATAACAAGATTTTCAGCTTGAGCATATGCTGTGCTGCTGATTAATTGATTCCCTCCCTCTGAATGGCCAGACTCCTCTATGCACTCTGGTTGCAGCTTCTGAACAACATCAGATAAATGATGCTTCATGGGAAGCTTTAGTGGATACAACAGCTTTATTTGCTCTGCAGGATCAGCTGAACTGTCATTAAGGTGAGATACCATAAGGGTAGAACCACCAGGGAAGCACAATGCCTTTCGGATTTCAGCCTTGATAGGCAGTCTCCGTGCTCTGCCCTTTGTGTTGACCTCTCCAATCACCACAAAACCCTGTTTTTGAATCCATCCTCACAAATCAATTTCCAAGAATAAGTGAAGCATTGATATTTGCAAAGTTGCCCAAGACCATATACATTGAAAATAGAAGAAAACATAAATGCTAGAGAATATATCTAGACAAGGAGGTCCTCTTCCCTGGGAGAACATCGCAGAATATGGAGATTGATGAAAGCAACTCAATAGCACAAGCAAGCAGACAGATAAACCCAAATATCAAGCATCCGTTCTCCAGGATATACCTGTTTCAGCCAAAATCCTTCAGACTCCTGATCCCCCCAACATAAAATTGTGCGGATGCCTACTTTCTGCAGTCTGTTTCTCAATTCCATGTACAGAAGGCGACCAATCCCCTAAATAATGCTTAATTATCAGCAACCATTTGAATGCAAGACAAGCCCAAAGTATTAGCACAACAGAACTGAACTCACTAGCAGCATGAATTTCAATTTGAATTAGAAAAATAGGAATGTCTTAAACATAAGTAGATACAGGAGAATAATGTAATTGACAGGAAATCCAGATCTTAAAATAAAGTGTAAGATAATAGGAGAAAAAGTTGCAGCAGCTTATATATCATCTGGCAATGAGAGAAGCTAACCACTTCTTAGTTTTATGTACTTATCCCACTACACAATCTCCAACTAAACTTCTAACACCACCATCCACCACCCACCCACCATCCAAAATTCTCTCCCCAAGGAAATATGGGGAGAGCATAATTTAGCCACATGGTTCTTAAAGGGACAGACCACTTTGGAAAAGACCGAAAGATCAAACCAAGAAAAGTAGCAATACCAACACTGACACCTGGTGATAGATTTACAGAACAAGCAGATAACCTTTTTCTGGTACATTGAACTGACAGCGGCTAATGGAATTTCAGCATACTGTGTATCAGCAGGGACTATTTGATAAGTGATAGCAGAAAGAACCTGTCAAAATTTGAGATTGTCAAAAGAAGTTAACTTTTTTAATAGATAAGTTATTAACAATTGAATGAGTCAGTTAGATATAGCACAGCCAGAAATGAAAAATCAGCAATCATTTAGGCAGGTTTGTTATTGCAGTAGTGTATAACTCACCAGCATGAATCAAATCTATGCAGATTATGCATACTAACATGAATCGGTCTCCTAAAAAGGCTCTTCTCATTTGTAAAAAGTGTGTTCTCCTTTACTTTTATCCTGGAAGGTAAACGTTTGGCAGACCTTTACTAGAATCCCATGTGTAATTACAGGCCCAGCCCAGAAACATTCATAAATTTAAAAGGCACCTTAACTCTAGTCATGGAACACTATCTGAACCTCTTAAGACAGCTACTATTATTATTTGATTAAGACACATATTTTGCTACAATTTCAAAATTAGCTGCTCCCATTCAATTCAATGTTCATATTAAGATATCATAGAACAGTATTAAAAGGAATGAATGGGGTCACAAACATGTCCCCTTTTTCTGCAATACACAATCTTGGAACAACATAATTAATCATTCATTTGTGGTGCGAGAATCTCAATACAAAGTGTATATGGTACTGAAAGTGTATGTTAGGCATTCAATCTCAACGATTTAATCATCACTTGCTGGGTTAGTCAGCATGAAAATATTGAGTGGGCAGTATTATTCTACAATCTACTCTTGTAAGTTTTTTACCAGCTCTGTTGAGAGAATTTGACCCATTAAGGTGCATTCAAACTACAAATATAATGCCTGCTCTGGAATTAAAGTACACTAACCACCATAGTTTTTTCTGAATCAAAGTCTACAGTTAAACTGTCGCTTCAAAAATAATGTAATAAATACCACTTAACTGTTACAAAAGTGATGGATTTTCTTTTTAACTTGAAGCAAGTGAAAAAGTACCCTATTATTGTTCGTAAGAACTAGTACCGTCTCAATCTCTAACAATAAGCACCTACCAATAACTATGACTGAATGGATAAGGTAACGTAAAGTTTCACTCATGTGCACCAAAAAGTTCCTATTTGTCCTAAACACCAAGCTAATGCACATCCCCTTTTAAAGTTCATACTGCCTTACAAGAAAGCAAATACACATAGAAACCAAGTCCATAATCTAGTACAGAGACAAAGGAGTAAGTGATCTATTATGAATAAACTGTCAATAGGAATTGCACAGAAATGCTGAAGTTGACATTCAAAGACACTAGGAAACAGAAGAAGAAGAAGATAGCATTTTCTGTTATGTCTCTGTGTGAGGAAACGTTTAATTCTTAAAACCTATAGGCATACAAGATGTTTATGATCCCTGATGGAGAAACTCCTCCACACAGTTTATTTTATTATTCAAAGGATTTGGTTTATTTACATGACACGCCTAAATAAAATCTTTAACTGCTTTAATAACCATGCACATAAGAGTTAAAATATATAAATAGTCTTGTGAGTTTAGTCATGACAATATTCTCTAGCATTTGTCCCACTTTTGTGGGTTGTAATCACACACACCCACACATTTGCAGGAGAGAGAGAGAGAGAGAGTTAGAAATACTGCCATTTGAGCAATAAAAGCTGAAGCCAGTGGCATGCAATTGAGCATTATAGTTACTCTGCTTAAAAGAGTTGCTAGTATATGGAGTCCAGCGATTAATGTTATACCTCTCCTAGTTGGTCATTAGACTTGCATATAAGAAGTAATGTGCAGTACTTCCTGCAAAAGTCAAACATGCAGAAACTTCTCTGAGAAACAGAATGATTTCAACTTCCAATCAGCAGATATCCAAACACATAGCAAATTCCAAAAAAATGTCTGCAAAGATACTAGTACATAATTTTAGTAGTGTGCGCAACCAACAGGATAGAAAAGAAGTTAACACATGCAGGCATAGAACGTAAACATAAAAGAACAGGGATGGGTATCGTCTTTTACCCGTTTGATACACATCTTTCAAGAAACAATGATTCCTTCCCAGTATTAGCTGCAAATTTCATTGCTGGAAGCTCTTTTGAGTACATGTCGAGTACTTCCTGAAACAATGGGCACATACTAACATACATCGTAGATGGAAGTGAAAATTTGGTCAAAATTAGAGTCAGCGTAGGGGCACAACATTCTTCCGGTATGAATCCACAAAAAATAGGTAATCATACAAAGAATAGTGAACAGACTACAAAGAAGGCTATAGAATCAAAAATCAACCACAATAATTTGAAAAGACCACCTACACCGACTTCCTTTGAAATTTTGCAAATTACGGAAAGCCAAAATATGAGTAGCATCTTCAGAAAACATGGCAAGAACTGAAGATGACAAAGCACAGCTTTAGCAAAATGTAATTCACAGCCCCCAAAACCGACAATTATAAATGATGAAGTGCCTAATAATCATGTGTAAAGTAGTAACTTTAGCAAGTAAAAGGCCAAAATCTGTGGATTAGTGAGTGGTATGCCACATCAAAATGTTATCTCCCAAGTCAGCAGTCATAGCTTGAATCAAATCCAAGATAAAAGTCTTTTTTACCACTTTACGATTATAACCGCCAAACCATGCATTTTTGCGGAAGAAAAAAGAAAAAGAAAAATCACCCTTAATTGTTTATCCAAGCTCAGCTCTAAAATTTCTCGTTTATTTTATTAGTGCCCCTCAAGAACTCACCACATTTTCTGCACACTTTAGCATTTCTAATGTTATATTGTTCAAAATTCAAAATCTACTTCCAATAGTAAGGACGTAAAAACAAAAAGTTAAAAAAACTTTTGCAAAGAGGCAACTTTTGCATATAGGTTAATGAAACCAAAAAAAAAAAATCTAGAAGAGTAAATGAACAGCATGAAAATGTGAATTGAATGTGAGCGTTACCTGAAGCAAAGACTTGGTTTGGTCGCCTGAATCTTTAGGGTTAACAAGCACGAAATAGTACCCACCTAATCAACATTACTTAAAATAATCACTGGGCACAAAAACGATTTTTTTCTATTTTTCGTACAAATTCAAAATAAACAAAAATTACCAGAAAAAAAAGGAAATTGGAGTTTGAATCCCTACCATTTTTTTCAGATCCAGAACCTGGAGTATCGTCAATCGTATTTTCACATTTCGCCGCCTCCATCACTGCCAAGAACAGCACCCAATCACTATCGTCACAATAATAACAGTAACAATAGCAATATAGCTACCAAAAGAGTAAAAAATGATAGTAACAGATATCAAAATGATGGCGACGATACCTGAGACTTTAATTTTGACATTTTTCGAAAGAATGATTTGGAGGCTATTTTGGTTCGATTCAGAGGTAAAATTCCTAGCTTCCACGACAACCTCGCAATTTCCTGTGGGGATTGAAGAGAAAATTAGAACAATTAGGGTTTCAGACTTAGAAATTAAGTAATAGAAATGATTCCATTCTTTTATTTACCGATTGGAATCGGAGCAGGGGAGAGACGAAAGGGCTTCCGTTTTGGCGCCATGATTTTCCAGCTTTGAAAATGTGATCCAAGGAGGGAGTGGGGAGAGGGTATTTATAGCTGGGCAAGAGCGGGCTAAGAATGTAACTTTAGTTAAAATCTGAGGCTTTTTTGGTCAATTGGATTGCTAGCAACAAAAAATTGGCGCCTTCGTATTAAGCACGCCTATGTGTAAGTGGACGACTTAAGGGGGTGTTTGGCGAGTTGGAATTAGCAATAGGAATTATGCGTTTTCTGTTGTTGGATTTTCTTTTTTCTTTATTTTGGTTTAAAAAAAAAAAGAGAAAAGGAAGCAACTTCCGACTAGCATAACAAACCCGTCCTAAGGAAAAGCATAAGGTTTGGTAAGGGGGTATGGGATTCGGGGAATGGAATGAACCCCATAAATGGTGTTTGGTTCACTGGAATGGGATTTGAAATCTTAGAATGATTTCTAAAAATTTGGTGTTTCTCCATTCCCAAGTATTTTGGTGGGTTTTGTCCGATTCCCAAGTTTGATTCCAAGAAACAAATCCAATTACATATTATAATTATACAAAGATATAATTAATATTTATATTTATTATATATTATAATATATACATATATATAATATATTATAATTATAATATTAGTACATTATATAAATATATATTATAATTATTTAGTTAAATATAATTATATTCATATAATATATATTATAAATTTATTAATATTATATAATAATATATTTATAATATATATGTATATTTATAAATGCATATTATATGTGCATATGATTATAAGACAAATATTAATTATAATAATATTTTATATAAATATAATATATATTACATATTAAATATAGTTATTATTATATATTATTATATTTAAAATAATAATTATTAATTATATAACTTATTAATATTACATACATGTATATATTATAATTATATGCACATATAATATACATTTATAAATATACATATATATTATAAATATAATATTATATAATATTAATAAATTTATAATATATATTATATAAGTATAATTATATTTAACTAAATAATTATAATATATAATTATATAATACAATAACATCATTATTATAAGTTTGTAACTAATTAAATTAAATATTATATATATAATTAATTATAATTATACAAACGCTATAAAATAAACACATAATTATAATTATATAATATATAAATATTAATTGTACTCATATTTTATATAAGTATAATGCATATTAATATTAGATATAGTAATTATGATATATTATTGTATTTAAAATAATAAATATAATTATAATTATAATTATATAATTTATTAATATTATATACATGTGTATATTATAATCATATGCACATATAATATGCATTTATAAATATACATATATATTATAAATATATTATTATATAATATTAATAAATTTATAATATATATTATATGAATATAATTATATTTAACTAAATAATTATAATATATATTTATATAATGTACTAATATTATAATTATAATATATTATATATATATGTATATATTATAATATATAATATATATAATATATATAAATATTAATTATATCATTGTATAATTATAATATGTAATTGGATTTGTTTCTTGGAATCAAACTTGGGAATCAGACAAAACCCACCAAAATACTTGGGAATGGAGAAACACCAAATTTTTAGAAATCATTCCAAGATTTCAATTCCCATTCCAGTGAACCAAACACCATTTATGGGGTTCATTCCATTCCCCGAATCCGATACCCTCTTACCAAACGCCCCCTTACTAGATATAACGTGAACATGCCTTGTTTGGTTTGCTTTGCTTCTCAAGTGATACTGTATAGGGTTCGAACTTGGGAATCTTACTATATGTAAACGTGAACAGCTTACCAATTTTACTCTCTTAGACATTACACTCATTTGTTTGCCAATTTTGCTCTTTTCAACATTCATTTGCTCGCCAATTTTGCTTTCGCAAACACTTGTTTGACTTTTGGCAATAAGCAATTTTACTCTTTGAAGCACCCATTCATTGACTTTCAAGGAATACTTTAGCACTTGTATTCCTTGGTTTGGACCATTTTTGACGATTTTGCTCTTTTAAAATTTCACAATTTCGACGACTTTGCTCTTTTAAAATTTCATGAATTACAGACAATTTTGCTCTTTTAAAATTCCATTAATTTCTTATTTGCTTCAACCCAAACCTTGCCAATTTAACTCTTATCATTAGTACTTGTAATTAATTCTAGCATATACGTATGGAGAGGATCGAATTAGATGATTAAAATAAGAGGGATTGTAAATAAAAAATTCGATTAGATTGGATGGTTAAAATATGAAGAGGATCGGATTGAAGGGTCAAAATGAGACGAATTGTAAATAATGGATGGTTAAAATACGAAAAGGATCGGATTGGATGGTCAAAATGAAAGGATTGGATGATCAAAATGAAACGAATTGTAAATCAAAAGTTCAAGTTCCAAAAAAAAATTCTCATTATACGAAGTTAAGTTCCATCGGACAAACGTTGAACAATATAAAATTTACCCTAGTATGATGCACCATTTCTTATTGTATAGAATAGACTATCACAACCCTGGTATGATGCATCATTTCTCGTTGTTTAGAAAAGGTTATCTCATAACTGAACAAAGCTCCTGGAAGGTGAAAAAACGAATTACAATTCAGAATTAAAGAGAGAGTTTTTACATTGACACTACAATATGGTACAGAGCCTTAACAGGGTAAAAGAAAGTGCTGCAGATACCTAAGAGCATCATCAATACAAACATATCTCCAACTCAAAATACTCAAAACTCCCACACTTATCCTCTCAACCATCCCTTTCCCACCACTTTGCCGCAGCCCCAACCTCAAATCCGCCACCAACCCACTAGCATCCCCGCTGGAGCAACACCCCGACTGCGGAAGCTCCTTCGAAAACCATCCTTCTTGCCCCAGAACGAAGCTTCCTTTCCCTTTACAGTCCATCATCGTAAAAACACTCCTCAACCCGCCTAACACCACATTCCAAGTAACCCTCAAGCTATCCAATGCTTCTATTGCCACTGATGGATCACCGTGACCATTCCCAAGATCAGCATCAATATCGAAATGGAACAAGAAACTCTTGTCAACGACGAGTTGGTTACCAGGTTTTATAGTTGTGCTGAGGCAGACGTTGCCGTTGAAAACGTCGATGGCGAAAATGATGCTGTCGAGGGAAAGATGGGGTTTGAGCGGTTTTTGCAGCCTGAGTTTCTCTGATACGCATCCTAAGTTGTATAGACGGCGGTAAGGGACGGCGAGATTGGCGGCACGGAGGTTGCAAAGGGACGGATAAAGGGTGGAGCAAATGGGCTTCCAAAGGTGGTCGGAGGACATGCAAATGGACCATGACTTGCATACACAGGAGGCTATAATTAGTGTTTTGGGGTCAAGATGGTTGGCGACTAGGCTAAGAACACTCCATGGAGGTGAGGATTTGAGGGATTTTTCAGACATCGTGATCGTGGTTATGGATAGTTTTTGTTTCCGTTGTTTTTTTTGGGTTCAAAGGATCAGAAGCCGACATAGGGATCAAGTTTTGTTCTGTGAAATGGAAGGATTCACGATTACATGATATATATGACATCCGAGGAGAAACCTAGTCATCCTATGTCGCATGGTAACCATGAAACACGTGTAACATTGTTATGTCCAGTTGACACGTGGCTTCTAGTTTCTTGTAATTGAACTACTTGTTTATTTCCTTCTCTTTTTCTGAGGCCAACTTCCTTTCTCTAGAGCAAACGAACAAGTTTCTTCTTGTTAATATATATATTTCTTTAGGCTAAACTACCTAAAGAATCCCTAAACTATTATAAATATTAACTTTTAGTTCCTTATGTGTTTTAAATTTGAAATGAACTCCTCAACAATGTTAAAAAGTGTTACATTTTAATTCTTTAGTTTGCCTTTATAGCTAATGGATCTAAGAGAAAATTTTGATGGAGTCAAAAGGTAGAAATATGTTGAAGGATCAAATTTTGATTTTTTTTTAATTATTGAGAGATTATTTTAAGACTTAAATAAATGAAGGGCAAAAAATTGATACTCTCTCCGTCCTATTTATTCAGTCATGTTTGAGGAATCCAACTTTTTAAAAATAGTGATTTAATTGTGATGTTTGTACATCTCTTTCCAATTTTACCTCCATAAATTCAAAATTTAAATTTGAATGGTAATATATACATGATTAGAAAGAAGGGTCATATTGAAAAAAGAGACTAAAAGGTGTTTTGACTTTTCTAACATAACAATTGTTTTGAAACATCTCAAAATGAAAAGTATGACACTTTCAATGAGATGGAGGGAGTAAGTAGAATAGTTTAGAGACTTCTTAAGTGGTTTACCCTAACTTTTATGATTTGTGTGATTCAAAAATGTTGGACACACCTAGAAAAAAAACAAGTTTACTCGGTGTGTTTGGATATGTATTATTTGAAATAATACATATGCTTATATCACAAAAATGTTTTTTAATTATCTTTTTTATCTCTTAATCATCTTTTTATCATGTACATATCACATTATAAAAACGGCTATAATAATTATTTTAAATAATATTTCAATTTTAGAATATTTTTTAGCAACCGAAGCTTTCCAAAGTGCAAGTGGCAACTGGTATTATTAATAAAGTGAAAGTGACTGTTAGCCCAAGGGCTAAGACCCCAAGACTAAAGGGAACTTGGGATTTGGTACTTGAGCTGGGGAGTGATCAGATGCTTTGCTAAACACTCTTGCAAGTTCACCAACTGAGCCAATATTCTTGCATTTGTAGTCGCCACAATGTGGATGCTTTGAGCCATGACACATTGAGTCTAGACTACAAAGGATTTGACGACCAAACTCCTGCCTGCATTGCAGAGTCTTGAGGAATTAACTCTTTGTTAGTTTAGAAACTGATCAAAGTGGCCGCTTTTTCTCATATAAAGACCATGAGAAAACACAAAACAGAGTTTCAATTTGTCATGGGAGATGAGACTACGA